AATCGCCCACTCTCAAGCATATGCAGTACCATTAATCTCATTGAAAAAGCCTGACCAAGCAACGAAAAATCATTGTACCAAGTATGAACGAAAAAAAGTCAGCCGGAGACATGGATTTTCGCTATCTAGCTCAGGTGCAGCAGGCAGGCTCTTGAGAGTCTATTCGGCGCGTGAATACACGCGCGGGAGAAAGAGAAAACTGTGGCGAGCAGTTGAGCGCCGGAAGCCGCTGCCTAGCGGCGGTCGATCAGATAAGCTTTTCTTGAGGCCGCGCGTATATAGTAGTAGCGGAACGTACATCTCTGTATATATGTGTGCGAGTGAAAAGCGCGCAAACTTAGCGATTGACGGCTGAGTTAAGAGATCAACTAGGCTATTTACATTTAAGGACTATTGGTCCGAAAAGATTCTTTTTTGTGTGTTTTTTTTTTTTTTTTTTTAAATGAGAGAAGGAGAGCGATTTTAGGAATTTTTCATAGGAGCCCATTCTTATTGCGTTTTGTTTTGCCATTGAGAAAGAAAATCGCAGTTGAATTTTCAGCTACTTGTCAGAATCTTTGCAAAATCATTTATTTAATCATCGTTCGGTCACTTGATCAAATGTTTCGTTGTGAATTCGGAAATGAATCATTACAGATGGAAGTCCCACGCGAGAAATTATCCAATGAATAGTTGATAAATTAAAGGAAAGCTACTTGATTCTCTAACAATTGCATCATATGCACCAGTCCAAATGAAACTGTACGGTAAAACACCTGATCAGATAAAAATCTAACGAGTCAACCTACCGACGCCGCAAGACGAGACAAGTATCTAACGAATGTAACTCGTTTCCGAAAGCTCTCACTCTCAGCTTAGTAATTTACTCACCCACTGAACAACAATCACATCATCATCATCGCCATCGCATGCACACTTTTTCTCCACTTGTCGCCGGCATACGTACAACCCGTTAGAGATGCACACACACGGCGGAAGCGCCTCGTAGAAAACAAATCTCGAGCGCGCGCATTGTCTGTACGGTGCACTTTCCTGGTTCCCATACGCTAAAGGCGTATCATCAAGATAGACGGTAAAACGGCGAATTTAGAATTAGATGACTCTGTAGCTGTAGGGAGTGTGTGTAACGGATACTTTGCTATGTGCCACAGCTGTTATGTATATACTTTTCGTGTTTTTTTTTTTGGTTGGCCAAGTGTAATTTTTTACGTATAATGTGTGCCATCGGCTTTGATTTTTGAATGTCATTGTAAGTAATTTATAATGATTAGTTAGGCTGGATCTTATAATTTGTAATATAATTTATTACACCGAAAGTGTGCAAAGCACCCTTGCTTTACATAGATATAGTCGATAAATCTTTGATTATACATATGTTTAGAGTAAAAAAAATCATATCCTTCGAGTGAAAGCGGACTGAGTCCATTATCCGTTAATGGATGCATGAGATATTGAACAAATAGTCAATAATAAATGCTTAAGCAAACTAAAATAAATGCTTTTATCGAAAGCATGAATAAACTATATTGCAGTCAACATCTTGTTACACGTAAAGGAGAAATTTCTTTTCAATGTTTCCCTCAACGCTGTTCATGCTACTTTTCAATTATATCTTTGTCAGTTCAGATCGAGATTTACCCGCAGAAAACTTTGCATATACATTGGTTCTTCCATTCCGAAAAACAAATGAAAATGCAAATTACTATAGAAAATAAGGAAACGGCAACATATCTACGTGCAGTCCAATTATCACAATACCGCTGAGAAGCCAAAATGAAGGAAAAAAAAACTAATAGTAGGACTTGGAAGGAAATATGGAAACCCGATAGGGGCTGACATAGATAAACGAGGTTCTTCCTACCTACCGACGTCGGCGCGGCAGCATGCCGTCAGATCGATCGCGCGATCGGATTATTTCGCGGACGGCTGCCGAGTATAGCGAAGGAACGTCGTCCTTGTCGTCGTATCCCAAACGTATACGTGCCTCGCATGCAAGCGTACTGCTGGCGCGACTTCTCCCTTTTTCGATATCTTTTGCCAACTGCGAGAGAGAAATTCTTCTCGACCTAGCTGCGAAACGTCTTTCGCTGTCGATGTCTATCGATCGGAAAACAAATCTTTTTTTATTCAATATCCCATATTAAATTCGTGTTTTTATCATACAACAGAAATAAAGTTTCGACACGGTTAGGGGCTTCCATTCCTCAATTTATTGAAAGGCGCTTATTTGTAATGTTAAATCAAGAATTTTCATTCGATAGAGTTGCAATTAATTTGATTTAGATTAGACGTCAAGTGCAACTTTATTTGTTAGACAGCATGGTGTGAATTCTTGAAAATCGTATTTACAAATGAAATAGTAATTTCAATTTGGAAATGCTGCCGCAAACCTGTGGCAGAAGAACTCGACATGAAGTTCCAACAGTTAGCACACAAGATAATCTTACTTGATTTGCACGTCCTAGAACGATTGCAATCTGATGTTGCTCATCGCGCAGAGAAAAAGTGCTCGTTCTGCATGCCGAGATTGATCAAGCTGCTTCTGTTTCAACAGAGTAAATTTCATATTTTTCATGCATTAAATCATAGAGCGGGCGATCAGATGTGTATCTCCTCTTTTCTTTTGAAGACTCACGCCTCGTTGCATTTAATAAGCGCGTCCAGCACGAGCACTGCAACATCAAAATGCAGACGGGTCATGTGCATTAAATCATATCCCTTTGGAAAGTTTTTTTTTTAAAAGCACGCAGGCGTCGCGAGAGCGTACAATCGCATAGTACGCACTCACTGTGCTTGGTTTATTACGTCGTTTTCACGCTGTCCGATCGCAGCCGTCGAACGAAACAAGCTAGCTGCTTGGCCAAAACACAAGAGACATAAGAGACAGCCCGAATGGAAATTACACAGAGTGAGGAAATTCGGCCAATAGCGAGTCTCAACAAAAACAAAGTATGAGCGACGTAGGCGCGCGGCGGATAAATAAAAGCGTATAAATGGCAAAGTAACCTTGACACGCATGCGCTGCCGAAAATAACGTCGAGGCGCGTTCTCCCCAGGTGCCAAGAGATAAGCCACAGCGAAATTAACCGTTAGCGATAAAACGGCTGTCTCTGGTTCGGCGTGCACGAGTGCACGTGTAAGTGTACGTCAAGTGTAACAATGCTTCGGATATGTGTGCGCGCGCGCTAAGCGAGTACCGCTGCGCGAGCTTCCGGCGAATCTCTTCATTCGCCCGAGGTGTCGGACATAGATAAGCCGGGTTCGGGCTTCGCGAGCGCGAGTAGAGATAAGTGCCAAGCAATGTTAGGAAAACCCCAGTGCCAACGATTTTGTAGACACGGGCGTTTTTGAATTAATGTCAATTATTAGCGATATCATTTCCTGGACGCCTGTACTACACACCTCTGGTGTCGATGATGCGTTTCAACCAATTAAATTAATAAGCGCGAATCAGTTTAAGTACGGCCGATGTGAAGAACGGTTGAGATCTATATCTAAGTTCGCTCATTCTTTATAGTAACTAATCATCGGCCAGAGTTTAATGAACGAGGCACTGTCATATTTTTAGTTTCGTCTTAGTAAAGGATAAATAATTGTTTATCCTTTACTAAGTTTGTTTGCTGGTAGGCCATTCATTTTCATCGCTCAATAATGTAAAAACTGTATTCAATAGCTATTAAATTATAACATTCCATATTTTACCGAAGATAACATTGACAACTTGAACGCATACGACCGTAGTATTCGGCCTAATTCCTATTTATGAAGATACCATTATTCTCGCATCATTGTATCTTGCGTTCATACGAAAGTATTAAAATCTCACAAGTTCGGACAAATACGTCATGCCATTGTACAGTTGCAATTTCTTTTCCTAGCCTAACAGATGACAGTCATTGACAAATCAGTACGTTATACTTCTCTCGACAGCCAATCATCACTTCGTCCTTGCCCGAACCGTGAAAAACTCGGAAAATCCGCAGTATAAATAGAATGCATTTCGGAGAGTACATCCCTGCACGCAACAACCGCACAAGTAAAAGTGCTGCTGGTAAAGTGTATAACAGCAGCGGCAGCGGCAGCAACTCACTCGAAAAAAAAGGTAATGTACAGTGTACGATCGCCGGCTCGCTGGAAGAGTGGGAGAAGTTAGGAGAAGGAAGGTTCGGTGACTCGGCGGCGTGGGAAGTCGAGCGCGACCAATCCCCGTTCCATTGGGCGGCGCGGCAGTCCACGGAACGTATCGAGCGAGCGGCCGGAAAGCCGCGCCTCGTGCGACCCCCCACCACGCGGCTACTCACCTTCGTCTCTCGTGCTCCTCTGCGTGTGCGTGCGTGCGTGTGTGTGTGCGCGTGCTCCTGTCTATGTGTCGGCGGTTACAGAGAGACACGTGCACAATGGGACGCGCCCCTTGTGCGCGACGTATCATTGTGCCGTCCCTATCCTCCCTCCGTCTCCATCTCGTACCTCTCGTAATTATATATATATATATAAAATTTATGACAATGACTGTAGGTGTGCCATTGATGTCTGAAAGCAGTGCTGGACTTTCTGCTGCTGTTATCGTCTTCGAGAGCGTTGCAAGTTGCGAGCGGCCCTCTGTCCGAGCGAACGAGCATTTTAGAGGCAATATAAAATCTTTTTCTACAACTTGACAAAGGCAATGTTTCAGCTATGTCTGCACTCAAACTACTTCCTCGACAAACAGATCTCAACTCACCTGCAATCCGCACTCCGTCGTAACAGTCTCACAGCCTCGATTACGTAGATCTTCGCCTGATCCACTCTGCGCGTCACCGGCATGGAATGAGATTTCATTAAGGCTTTCGCGAGCATCGGTGGTTGACGGCATATAGTCGGCGAAGGAAAGGAGAGAGAAAATGGTGGGCTGCCAAAGGGAGGGCGCGTGCGCGCGAAGCCCACCCCCGCGTTTGCTCTCTGTCTTTCTCTCTCTCTCGGTGTCGGTGGCGCGCGATGCGCAGCATCAGTACTCGGCGGCGCACCGAGCTGGCCAGTTACGTACATACAATACGATCTTTTTTTACCACTGCGCGCCAACATTCTTCTACCTCTTTTGCTTTGACATTGGTGAGTATACATCATAGTGCTGATAGCGGCAGTGACAAGTTGCCAACGATTGCGAGTGTGTGTGTAGATGTGAGAGAACGAGATGCGAAGAGGACTACTTCAAGGCGGAGCTTGCAAGCTTTCCATGAGCTTCGGTTCACAGTTCGTTTCACGGGCAATCCGTGCTTCAGGAGTTGATACTGCAATACGAAAACAATGCGCATTCGAACGTAGATATCTAAGCGCATTGTCACATCAACAAACACACGAATCCGCCACAAATATATAATCAATCCTTCAAGCAGATCAAACAAGTTGAGCGCACAATCCGATCGAGACACAGACACACGATCGTGTCTATCGGCTTACGCATCTCGACTGCTGCTGCTGCTGCTGCTACTGCTGCTGTGAGGGAAAAGGACGCGACGATCGTTAAAATTTCTCGGCAGAGAGGAGACACACACGAAAAAAAAAGATCGAGAGGCCGCCAACCCTCTCTTTCGTCTATTGCTTCTTTCCTTTTATTTCGTTGTTTGTTGTTCTCGCGAAGGCACAGGTAGAGGGAGAGAGGAGGTTTTACTGGGATATCTGTTTTACCACGAGGAAAGAGAGATACTCTCGATCGATTAGGGCACTTTGATTTATATATCCATACGAGCGAAAGAAAAAGCTTCTATGGATTCTACGTATATTTTGCGATCATTTCGTGGACTTTATTCCTTTTTGCGGGGACTTAAGCATGGCTGTGCTCAGTCTGATAATAGCCATTTATTTCAATTTTTAGGATGCACAAAGAACGACGATTTATTTCCTAGGTGCCTGCAATCAGAAATTCTCGCGCCGAAATCCGCGGATCGTCCGCAAAGCAGCTTTAACCTCTGACACCGTCGAGCCCACAAAACGACCTTCGAGAAACCTTCAAAAGGAAAAAAAAAGGGGGAGAAGCGTAGCGCAGTAGTAGTAGTAGTATAGTAGCACCTCCTGAAAAGCAAAAAAAAAAGAGAAAAAAATAAGCTCGAAGGTTCGAATTACAAGAGAGCTACCGAGCTCTCGGGAGGCTGCAGAAAAAGGAAAGGCACGAGCGCCACGAGAAAACACTTAGCCGCACGCTCGCGCGCAAGGTCCCCTCTAATTAGCTACCGGCCGATTCCCAACTGATTTACTACCGCGGCATTAACGGGTTGCCCCCGCGCTCGCTCGCGTTCATTCATAGATTCGCGCGGCCGAGCGCAGGAGTAAAGGAAGTGTATCCGGTTTCTCGGCGCGGACGATTGTAATTAAATCGGCCTCCAGTGACTTTTTGAACTTCTACTGTCGCGCAGAGCTTGCTCCGCCAACCCCTGTACGTCTTTTTCGGAGAAGTATTTTGCTCTATATTTCTCTCTCTCTCTCTCTCTCTCTCTCTCTCTCTCTCTCTCTCTCTCTCTCTCTCTTGTTCTTTCAGGTTTGGAGCGAGGCCGAGGGTTGAGCGAAAGAACGATCGTCGAATTGTAATGAGACAAACACGAGATTACTTATTCGGCTGCTCGATCGGCGTCTTTGACCATTTATTATAGCTTCATAATATCAAATATATGCTTGATAATTATATACGATCAATAAACATGGCACATTTTCATTCAACAGATCTGTCGTCTAATTCAAAGATGAAACGCCACACTCACAATCCATCACGGCAAGCATCGACGAAAGATCATCAGGGTGGAAAATCAACGGTGTCATCGTCGGCAAAATGTTGAAGGAAGTAGGCTGTGGTAGCCCGCCGGCGGACGCAAGTCGCGGCGGTGTAGCCGTCGACGCGGCCAACTCAGTCAGTCATCACCAGGACAATCCAAATAGTTTAACATTGGCATGTGGCGGTTGTGGCCACGAAATTGCCGAGCGATGGTATCTGCGCGCCGCTGATCGAGCTTGGCATTGCGATTGTCTTAGATGTTGTCATTGTCGTATTCCACTTGCCGCTGAACTCACCTGCTTCGCACGGGACGGCAACATATATTGCAAGGAGGATTATTACAGGTCATTTTTTATTTTTTTTTTATTCTGAAACATTTATGGAAAAAGATTTTGCTCGGTGGAAAGAATGGTAAAGAGATGGTTTACTGGATGCTTTGTTGAAATTAGTAGTAAAAGTCAAAATTAGTCAGGCATAATGCATGAAGTTAATCTGGAAAATCATAACGCCGTTGCTCAAACCGCCAATTTAAAACATGAAAGTTCCGAACAATATATCAATAATTTATGTTTTTAATTAGGGTATTTTATACTATTTTAAAATTTCTCCAGATGAATAAAACAACCGAACATCTACCTTTGTTTTAACCACTGAACCAGCTATTAATAAATATCATTCATAGGTAAAAACTTTTTTCCAGGTATAAATAAATTTTCTCGAAATAAGAACTCAATAACTTGAAAAATGTGTTTACTGTATTGCTACCTCTACGAAAGAGTTTATTATTGCTTTCGAACGAAAAAAAGTTTTCTTAAAAAGAGAAATTGTTGATTGAACTGCGCGATTTAATTAAAATAAGTTTTCGAGATTGAAAACAAATGCCTTTTTTTCCTTGAATGCAATGATAATTACCAAATGTTTCCCGCTGTGGTCGTTTTAAGAATCTTTCAATGATTTTGGTCGAACTAATCACAATAATTATCCATCCAATTTAACTCGAATGAAAGAAAAAGAAAATTGGCCTGCTGCTATTTATCGAAAGGCGATAAGACAAAAAGAGAGAGGGAGGCAAAAGTCCGCAGGCATAAGAAGACGCTAAAAGGTCGTTTGCGTTTGAATCTGGCGCAGGGTGGCAAAAACAGCGAAAACCAATAAAGCCAAATGTGCATCGCAGGAATTAATGCGTGGCGCGAAAGAGAGGAGAGTCCAAATTCACCGGGGGTTATTTATTGAGAGAAATTTGCATAGGAGCGGCAGCGGGGCTGCTTGGAGAGAGAGACCACACAAATTGTCGACTAATGGCCGAAACCTGCCAAAAACTGTTATAAGTTTTTTGAAAATTCACTCGACAGATTGATTATTTTGCGCCGGCGCTACTAATTAAGCTTGGGCAAAAAGCCTCTGGCGTCATATTGAATTATTCGAACAGAAAGAGGGTCGAAAAAAAAATTGGAACGCAGAAGAGAAAATCGTAATCGATGGGAAAAGAAGGACGACGGGGGCAGGGACAAAGTAGGAAGCCTGAGCTTCGTTACGGGGAGAAAACGGCGGCGGTCCATGCAATATGCAACGGTTTACTCTCTTTCCTTTCTTCTCCTTCGTCGTCGTCGTCGACTTCATTTTTTCTCTCTCTCTCTCTCTCTCTCTCTCTCTCTCTCTCTCTTGCGACATCGCGACATCGCGCGCGGAAACTGAATAGATTCTACGAGCTTCCCCGCCCTTTGTCTTTATCTTAACTCTGCTCGTGTTTGTACATTACTCTCGCTTTGTCTTTTACACACACGCGCGCAGCACACGTACACACAACTCGAGCATATATTTTCGAGGCCTCCTCCTTGTTTTCCTGTGAGATTTCGTCGACAATGCCGGGCTTGAATCGTAATTTCTGTTTTTGCCTTTTTTACCGCTAGATAGCGTCGAATTTCGCCTGCAATATTTATCCGAAGGACTTTGCGAAGGAATATAAATTCCAGCAGATGTTATCATTTCGAGTTCTTAACATCATCGATCTGATAAACCTATGGTTTATAGTTATTCATTGGTTAAACAACATTATCGAAAGAGAATTAATTTCCTATTTCATGTTTATTAAAAACATTAAACACAACAGAAAAGCTGATAAAAAAAAACAATCAATTAAACTTCTCTCAACAGATTATTCGCTGTGACGAGGTGTTCGCGCTGTCGAGCCGGCATCTCGGCAACGGAGCTAGTGATGCGTGCGCGCGATTTGGTCTTTCACGTGGCTTGTTTCACGTGCGCCTCTTGCGGTACACCGCTCAATAAAGGCGATCATTTCGGTCAGAGAGACGGTCTCGTTTATTGCAGGTAAAAAGCGAATGGCCAGCGGGCAACCGAATCTCTCCATGACTGTCGATGTCGCTGATCGTCGTGTTACAGGCCACACTATGAATTGATCTGTTGCGCGACAGACTACGGAAGTACCACGGGAAGCATCGAGGACTTAACGTCGCCGGGAGTCTCGCCATTAGCAGGTTACTACAGTGGCGCCGAGCAGAGTCCTATTGCTTCCTCGGGTACTGGCGGCGCCGGTGCTGCTGCTGGTGGCGTGCAGAAGGGACGACCCAGGAAAAGGAAATTGTCCGAAGTGACTGGTTCTGAACTGCCTGTCACGATGAGGCTCGCTGCTGGCGCTCTTGGTGAGTGGCGATACATCGCGTTCTTTTCTTTTCTTTTCTTCGTGGAACAACTGCAAAGTCTACATTTTCGTTCGTTCATCAAGTTGTCGGGGCCAACAAAATTATAAAAATTTTCTCGGCTGCTCGCTAGAGCCAACAAAGCTGAACTCAAAGGTTATGGAAATGATTGCCTTGCTAAGATCTTGGATCGAGTTGTTCGGAAGATGAAACTTTGAGAATACGCGATACAGGATATTTCGATTTACCTACATAAAATTAATATTGAACGGTTGTAAGATAGCGGCGATAATGTTGATAACATTCAGAATAATCAGTCGGAAATTTAATGCGTTTTACGTGATTTTCTTAAAAATATTATTATCAACGTTATTTTTTATAGGCATTTCGATAAAAACGGTTTTTTCCTTGGGTGAAATTAAGTTGTTAAGAGAGAAAATCATAAAAGTCTTTCGTTAACTCGAATTTTATCACACTTATGGGTTTAAAGAGCGTTACACACTCGAAATTTCGAATGGCAAGATATCGTTTATCAAGCGATTCTTTTTTTAATTGTCGATGTGCGCTTACAACATGAGCTTATTTATTTTACGATTTCGGTATAAGTGCGGCTTTCTTTTTACGATTGGCAGACAGGGAACTCAATATCTTTTTATTTCCACCGCGGCAGAAGCGTGCGATACTCGATCGCCGTATCACCATATGACGTCCCAGCAAGAAATGCCCAGGACAAATTTTCCTTATACCGCATCGCAACTCATGAAAATTCAAATGTAGCAAAGTGCATCTTAAAAATAATTCAGGGCGGCATGCGGCATCCAGCATGTGGCGACGTCGTCGTAAAAGGAAAGGGGCGACGGCGTACGGGAAAAAGGTGCGCGGCAATTGCGTAAACAAACCAAATGGCAAAATGAAAAGAAAAAAAAGAAATCACATACGTCGACCGACTGGTATTCATAAATGCGCATCGACTTTTTCCGCGTACGAATAATAATTCGCTTGCGGAGCCAGCTATTGCCGCCATTATTTCGCCGCGCGGTTCTCGATTGAAAAGCCGATCGATCATCGTGTACCTGTGTGCTCCAACGAAGATTTCTCGCGGATGTTACGTATGCATGCGCGCGCGAGGGCCTCTTCTGTACATGCATGTATGTATCGGATGCCGCTCGCTCGTTGACGACGTGTATGCACATACATACACGCGACGACGACGTGACGTCTGATTTATATACGTGTGATGCTTTTTATGAGTGCTGCACTGGCACATTCTTATTTGGCGTTCGCTCCACGCAACCGTACGTTCAACTGCGTTGATTTTGTTTTGCTTTATTTGTTCGCTCGCGATAAAAGGCCGGCTTCGCTTGAATTCAACATCGGCGCAAAGTTTCGATGATAAAAGCGAGCAGCGAGAGTCGCGCGGCCATTGATTTTGGTCGCCGAGAGTCGGCATTCTTTTCTGCGCGCTCTCGCGTGTTTCGACCAATCGATGCATCTCCCATCTATCACTGTCTGCGACTTCGCTTCTTTCGTTCTCCCTACCTCTCTCGCAGCGCGTGCGTATACGCGCGGCACCGGAGCGCGGTTATGCATGCGCATATGCGCCAAGCTACCATGCAGTTATAGCGGACATGCTTTATGGTCCAAGTCTCCTTTTTACCATCCAAGGGAAGGAATGCTCAAATTTATTTTCTTTTTTTCTCTTTATTTTTTGTATGCCGATTGGCTGTTAACGGGTCGCTTCAAATTGAGTTTTTAAAGAAATAAATACCAACTGCCAATCGAATCCTAAGTATTCCAAGCTTCCTCTCAAATTAACTATAACCTTTGACACTGCCAAAGGAAAGATTTCATACACATTGAGAAGTGATATTGACTATTTGAACGAGAAAAAAATTATATGTTAGATTGGATTATAGTTGTTTTGAAGATTAGCGTTTTATTTGAAGCGTCTCACTCGAGAATCAAATATCCAACATTTATCGAATAAGAGAATGCCAAATAAAATGTACTATTTTATCACGGAATCCGTACAAAAAAATTGTAGACTTTGGTAGCAACATATTTTCTAGGATTGGTGTTCTATTAAAAGGTGACCATCACCATCAATTAATAAATATTAATAAATCTTCACATTGAATATTGTATTAATTGAAATATGACAAAGCTGGTTCAGCAAATATTGTCAAAATAATTCTCAACGGTTTACGAATCGGCGTGTAGTTGATAAACAATGGAAAAAAATTAAGCAACCGGTATCTCATGTACGTACTTGTTTATAATTCAGCTTTACACGATGATTTTAGCTCTCGTGAAAATTCCAAGAGAGATCGATCTCTTCGCAGTTGGAAACCGGCGTAGATTTTTACAAGTACCGCTTGTATTACAATTGCTGATGTGGGAGAAAGAGCGAGAGAGGGAGCGCAAATAGTGATAGATGCGCGTGCGCGCGCGCGAAATATGGCAGGAATGCCCGAGCGGAAGAAATCGATCGAGTAGCCGAGCGGGAGAAAACGATTTGGTTTAAATAAATTTATAGACCGGTTTGTTATATTTGAACGAGAGGCTGTTTTTACGCCCGCGGCGCATGAAAAATTTATAAAATGCAGCGGAGCCATAAAATTACATATATCTGCTGTCGTCGTCGCAATTTTCCCTCGAATGCCTCATTTACTCCAAAACATCAGATCCAACACCTCGGTCGGCAATCCTTGAATCGCAAACAACATGCCAGAGCTGTTAACCACGCGCGCACAATGAGCGCAAAAAAAAAAGAAAGAAAATGAAAAAAAAAGCGGCTCGAGCGGTCTCCGCGACAAAATGGCTGAGGGAGAGAGAGAGGATCTCGACGTGCTCGCATTCCCTCGCTTGATATTTTCTCATCGCCTCGGGGTGCCGTGTCGCTCCGGGAATCTCATTTCGTCATCGTCTCTGTCAATTTTCTTGCCTCCGGAGGGAGGAAAAACGCTTCAAGCGTGCGCGCAGCGCGACTCATTTTATAATCGTCGCGCTCCGCGCGCGCGTACGCGCGCATTTCCGTCTTCCAAGTTTTGCTCGGTTGTTTTTTTTTCTTTTCTCTTCTTTTCTTTTTTTTCTGCCCCTGTAATTGGTCGCCGCCAAAAGGATCTCGGTAGCATTCTGCTTCTTCGATCTCCATCGTTCTTGCACCTACATATAATGCAGGCTGGATTTTCCTGGGCTTGTCACACGCACGCGCGCACTCGCGCGCGCGCTTAGGCGGTGATGCTTTTCGAGGAACTCGTTGGACGCGCCACGCTTTCATCATAATTTTCTTTCTTGGGCGATTGTTTTGCCAAGCTTGTAGTTTTTTTATCACGAGACGCTGAATGTGAATAACAAAAAAACTCCACCCTATAATTGAAGATTATAGGCAATCAGCGAGTATGTTTTTTTCAGGTTGTTTGCTAGACTTCCTAAGATATATCCGATTCAAGTGCTGTGAATAGGCAATTTTCAATCAACAATACAAAATTCAATCGGATCTTTAGGAATTTATAACTCGTACAATTTTGAATAATGAATTCTCAACGAGAGAAATTGTGATCTATTGTACAAATCAAATTTTCGACGATAATATGAGTAGAGAATAATTCATGAAACCACTGATTTAAAAAAAATCATATTTTTTGCACAAAAATTAGTGTAACACTAACGAACGTGAAAAAATGTCCATCAAAGAATCAAACAAAAACATGTAGTTGATCCGCAAACGGTGGTTTGCACCACTGACAAAAATCTGTACATCTGTTTGATCGAAAGCTAAGCGTATTACGCAAAAATGAATCGCGCGATTTTACCTTTCGACCAGGGAGTAGCAGATACACAGAAGCGAATGTTTACGAATTTATTGATTCTGTTTACCGTCGATGAAAATAGAAGAAGACGGGAATGGGGATATACGCGTTCACGTAAGTAATTGGCAAGTGCACGGACGAAGACACGGGAACGGATTGCAAACACACTCTCGTATAATTGAGCGGAAGAAACACATATAGAATACGCAGACGATTTTTTTTCTTTTAGAGTGAGCAAACATTGAAGGAAAAACCGTCGCTATATGAATATTCAATGTCCGCGCGTCGAACACCCGTGAAACAATCATAACAGTAGTAAAGGAAAACAATAGAAGAACAAGTATTAGGTACACAAAGGAAAACGAAGGGGGGATGTGAGTATTTGCCCAAAGACGGATTGTACACCCTATGCACACACTCGTTGTAAACTCGAGCGGGCAAATAACAATTCTCTTTTTAAATCAAGAATATACGTGCAATTAAAAATTGTTAAAAGTTTGTTATCGTCGAATTTTCAGAGCTACTTCATCCGACAGAATTGTCATCGTCTATGGAATCTCTAACTGCGTATGATGGTTCAGCAGGATCGCCTGGTGGTCACATCCATCAAAGTCAAAGAACGAAACGCATGCGTACCAGTTTCAAGCATCATCAGTTGCGTACTATGAAAAGTTACTTTGCTATCAATCAGAATCCCGACGCCAAAGATTTGAAACAATTGGCACAGAAAACTGGACTGTCCAAAAGAGTTTTGCAGGTATGAATTTTGAACTTGACATTGATCATTGATCTAGAAAAAAAATTGATAGTAAAAGAAAGCCAAGTGAAAAGCTTACCATAATCGTAACGAACCGTTGCAGGTGTGGTTCCAAAACGCACGAGCAAAGTGGCGACGGAATATGATGCGCCAAGAGGGCGGCACAGGCAGCAACAATGGCCCAGGTCTAGGCGGTAATGTTGGTGGTTGTCCAGGTACTCCGGCATCAACGAGTACCGGTGGTGGTTCACCTGCTGGCTTGGGTTCTGGTGGTCCAGGATTACTTAGCGATAGTAATAGTATGCCGTCGACGTCGATGGAGGAACTTCACGCGTTGCATCACTTGCATTCGTCCCAAGTCTCTTTTGCCGACCTCTACTGACATCGGTTTTGTGCCGACAAGGAAGCCGGCGAACGCGATTTCGTGGTTTGAACGTATCTACCTGTAAATGAAAGCGATTTTTTTCGATACACAACCCGTGACCAAAATAGATTTATGTACATTCGATGAAGACTGAGGGGTACTAAAACATCATTTCAGTTTTTTTTTCTTGGTGACAACTGCCGTTATCAGTATTAATTGCGAAGTTTAAGTTGAAAAGTCGATTTTTTACAAACAGTCCAAACGAAACCACCACTCTCATACGGAGGATCAACATTTTTCCATAATGTAAAGCACAAATATTTTAGTGTTTATATAGTCTTGCATAAATAAGAAGAAAGTTCTCCCGAGAATGTTCGGAGGAGGATGAAAGTGATGAAAAATATAGTTCCATGCATATCCGAATTACCAAAGGCTTAGAAGATAGATAATTTTCGTATAACGTGCGCGTGACAAGAATGGTGTATAGATAAATTTGAAAAATATTGTACTAAATAATTTTCTAGTGCAAACATTGCGTAATAATGAAAAGTATGTATCGCATATAGTAACCTCGTGCATGATGGATAATCTGTATTAATCGTCGTGTAGTTTGATCCATATGAGGGCAAGATTTTTCGTTTTATCGATGTTTTTTTGTAAATACAACTTATATATATATCGAAATATTACTTAGACGAGCCGCATACGCGATCGTTCCTAAAAGGCAAAGGCACATTAACCTGTAGAGCGAGTTTCTTTTCCGTGCAATTAGTTTGTAAAAAAACGCTCAATTCAATGTGAGATGTGTGTACATGCGACAAAGCCATGGAGTTTCTCAGTGTTCGTTTGGTCGCACTACTTTTGAGCATTATTCAACGCTACGTGTTACACTGGATGAAATGTCCGCTAAAGAAAATACAAGCCAATAGACAGAAACGAAAAGACGAGCAAGCTTTCTTCCACCAACTTCAAAGTCCTCGGCCCAAGCAAATTAAACGAACGCCGACCAACAGCTGATCATTTGAGCGGCAGGTAGTAATCAGCTGGAAGTATACACTTAAGTTTTTTTTTGCAACTCGGAAGCGCGCATGAATGGGAAGCGAAAAAGCCGAGCGAGGAAGGCATTAAAAAAGAAGAAACGAGCGGGAGCCTGCTTAAACAAACAAGTCTCCAAAGAAGGCCAGTTAAAATTCGAGCAGCTCGTTTGTTGTTTTCTCGTTCTCGCGGCGCGGTACCGTTCCGCCGAGGAAGCTGCTAGCGCGGTAATAAAGCGAAGGTCGCTCGCGCACCAATGACCCGGGAGCGCGGCTAATTAGCATCGAATTGGCTAATACGCGCGCGCGGAGAACGAGTGGGTGTGCGCCAGTTAATTTTCAATCTATATGCCCGAATGCACGAAGGGCTGTCGCGCAAAATGAAGAACTCTCTGGGCACGCACACCTCATTTAACGAGATCCCGCGAAACCGAGGCGCATTTGCATATTACGCGTCCAGTCTCTTTTTTGCGCAACGTGCGTGCGCGGATTACGGTATAATATCGCAAGGTGGGCAGTTACAAATGAAAAATTTCGCTCCCTTTTTTTGCCAGCCTCTTACCCGACGACCGTCTATGGGCAAGCTCGTGTAACGGTTTCGCTCTGTATACATGAACTTGGGTGGCTTATATTTCTCTGTATTTTTCTTCGACGTGCTTGCAAATATGACGAACCGCCAATTGATAAATTTACTCATTAATCTGCGTTTCGCACGAAAGCGCACGCAGTTGTTGCAGTTGTTACAGTTGTAGCGACGAGCGCATTTCTCAAGTTCGCTTGCAAGCTCATCCCCGTCCGAACGTAAGTCGAGATCGATCGAATGAAATTCTCCAGCGACTTGCGGGGAATATTTAAAAACGACAGTTGCGACTTCGGCCAGCAAGACGCTTTCGCAATCGAATTGAAAGCCGAGCGGCACGAATCGAAAGCTCGTAAACTCGTGTGCGTGGACAACCCTCTTCCTTCAATATTCAGCGGACCGCTGGCAAGCAGAAAAAGAAGCAAGATCGAATTCAATTGCGTTATAAACAAATCCTCGCGAAAGGCTGAACTTATTTGCAAAGAATCAGTATACCGTTTGGAAGGCCTTTCTGCGCCATTTCGCCGAGGCGGCCTTTTGTTCTGTCAGCGAAGCGACGACCGCGCCCTTGTCTCCTCCTCGTTTCCATTCGCGTGCTCTCTCTCTCTCTCTCTCTCTCTCTCTCGCTCTCTCTCTCTCGCTCTCTCTCTCTCGCTCTCTCTCCGCCGTCGGGCTTTTTCCCCCCTTTTTCTCACGAGTGTCCCTCTGTCTGCTACTACTGCCAATTTTTTTTGCTTTTCTGCTTTTTGGGCTTTCGCGTGTTTTATGCCGATATTGTTCGCGTTTCTACGACAATTTCGTGCATACGTCTTTGAAAGTGTCGGTAGGCTTTTCAGGCCTTTTTACAATACGGTTATTGCAGGTATCGTAGCAGGTGGAGCAAAACGATCCTTTTTAGGCATTGTAAAAATTCTTAAAAAATTCTTTTCCAAATCTACTTTTAATTCTTTCAAAAGGAACTCATCGAAAGCTGAATCGGCAAAGTTATACTGACAAGCTCGCCGCGCCGAACGAGAGAATTAAAAAATTAATCGCAGTTTTACGTTGAACTCTCAAAGGCACTTGGCAACATCAAAATCCCAATTACTTTTTTAGGCGAGCAAACAATCAACCAGCAATAAATTCCGAGAGCCAGAAGAATATTTCTTCAGGTCTGTCAAAAACAAAAAGTTATGTACGCGCGAAGTGACTTTTTTTCCTTCCTGCAGCACGACACACCTGCGGCTCTGACCCCTTTCACCTCCTTGCAAAAATTCTCTCCATTTTAAGTCTGCTGCCGAGGCAGACTGCACACGCACGTGTGCGCGCGAGGAGGATAAAAAAGAAAACGATTCGACGCATCTCTTCTCCGACCGTTCGAAGGGAGCTTTTTTATCGGAACTGCTGCGAAAGCCGATCCGTCCCCTTCGCGCGACGATTCGTCCGTGCGATAGTCCCCGACTTCTCTCTTTCTCGACGCTCGGCCCTTTCATCGAACGCTTCGCTCGTCGTCGTCGGGCTTCAGGCTCTACTTGTACATATAAAACCTTCCTTCATCTTGCCTTCGATGGAGCATGTACAAGATATTTTTCTGCGACTGTTTACAGCACGAGTGTTTGATTTGGAAAATGCTTTGCAGAAGTTGGTTCATTTTCGGTCATTTATGCGCCCGTTGCTCACCTCGATCAAACTCATTTTTTATTATCGAAATTAAATACCACATTGAACGAATTAACGAGCGACGTTCGATGTATTTTTTTCAGTTATTTCTTTTGGCACAGTCATGAAAATTTCCGCCAAAACATCCTTCATGACTCACAAAATCTCTCGAGAAATCGACAAACGTCCGCATTGCAACGAAAAAATAAAGAAGACCAGATCTCAGTCGGCGAACGTCATACATACCCGGCAGCAAAAGCTAAAGTCGTACCGCCCCCCTCTCTCTCTCTCTCTCTCTAAGGATTCACGTCGCGTCTCCGAGGCAATTGGTTCTCTTGCTGCTCGGAGCGTATAAAAAACCTCCAATCCATTAAAATGATTCGGAGCTGACGTGCCTTTTCTCTCTCTCTCTCTCTCTCTCTCTCTCTCTCTCATCTCAATTCCTGACTGCTCTAATTTATATACACCGAGTTTTTCGCGCCGTACCATGATGCTACTGCGGCCTTAATAAATCGGGGTCGAATTTCCATTCCGAGCAGAAAAAAAAGAAAGAAATGAAACGCCGAGCGCTATTAGCTCGTAAAAGGAAATGCTTCAAGTGGATGGAAAACTTCCTCAGATGTGAGTATTTATTAGGACTTTTTCAGTGAAATCCGTGAGAGACTTCGTTGGAAATAGGAGATTAAGAAAAACATTTGCAGAGAATTTGAAAAATACCCCGCCACGAAATGCTCCTTCGCAGACGAACAAAACACGAGTCGAATAATAAAAAAAAGAAGGTCAATGGGCATTATCAATTAAAAGTCACGAGCGTCCGCTTGCGACCTTAACAAAAAAAAAAAAAAAAGAAAAAAGCTCAAGCGGCAAGTGCAGAAAGCACTTTGCGATAGTCGCATTATCTTGGGCGACGTGGGATTTTCGTGGGCAGACCGATCGATAAAGGAAATAAAAAGTCCAGAGCACGCGAAGAAGCCAAGAGGAGATTCTCCCTTCCACACGCGCTCTTTCTCTTTCTCTCTCTCTCTCTCTCACATACACACACACACACACACACACACACACACACACACACACACACACACACGAAGAAGCGAGAGAGAGAGAGAGAGCTACCGTCCCTTTTTTTCGCGAATTATCCAACCGGCGCATCGCTTATTCGTGTTATCCGCCTTTTTGACCTTTTTCGCCAAAGTGAGAGCGAGATTCTTTGTTCGCGATGGTGGCTTCTGCGAAAAGAATGGCTCGACTGCCGTTGTTACTCCTTTTGTCTTATATACCAAGCTGGCTCGTTCCGTTTGCCATTCGATATGTATGCGCGCGCGTGTGTGTAGATGTCGCCGGGAGAAAACGTGCGCGTGGAGAAGGAAGCGCGCAAGTCTTGTTTTTGCACCTTCGCGCTTTCTGCGCGCGCACGCGCGGATTGTTCAATTCAAATTTATCTATTCCGCGAGCGCTTCGTGATTTATGCCCAGATGAATCTTTGATTTATTCCTTGATCCCGTTGATTGGGGCTATTGAAATATTCAGATTTTTGTAATCGGTGACTGTTTGAATACGTTAAAAATGACAGAAAACATGTACTCAGTAAGGCTGTAATAAAAAAATGTGGATTCACAAAAAAATAATAAGTATTAATGATTATTTTTAAGCGATTTGAAATTTGTATCTATTTTGGATTTGTTCCTTGTGATATCTTGCGCCAACTTAAATTATTATTATTTATTATATATATTCTCACATTGAAATAGATTTGATATAGTAGTACTGTGGTGCAAATGTTCGGAAGACAAAATGCACGACTGCCAGCGATCCCTTTCGTTTGTGAAAGCACGTTTTATACTCTCGTACAAAACGTTTCGACATCTCGCGGTAAGTCTAGCCACGATAACAAATTTATATAGCACATTGAAATGCCTGTACGTATGTCCTCCCCGAGCAAGTGGAAAAAAGCCGAGGCCGCAGCAGCCCTTAAAAAAGACAATGCGCAAGAAGAGATTATATAAATCGGCGGTATATATAGGCGTGTGTCCCTCGTGGGACCGAAAGCAGAAGAAGAAGCTACCGCAAGGATGTCCTTCGGGAGGAAGGCAGACTGTTCCATATGGAGCGAGAATTGCGCGCGCGGCCAAAGGGACACACGGCGCAGAAAAAGAGAACGAGGAAAAGATGGCCGCGCGGCGGGCAGCAGCATCGCATTGTCCGCCGCGACGACGTGCTCTCTCCCTCCCTTGTAAATAATGTAGCTCGATATCGAGGAGGGAGAGAAGAAGAAGATGGGACCCGCGACAATCGCGCGCGGATGGGAGGATACAACCGAGCGGGAATCCTCTTTCTTTTTCTTTTCTTCTTCCTTTTCTCTCTTGCTTTCTTTCTTTCTTTCTTTCTCTCTCTCTTTCTTTCGTGCTTTCTTTCTTTCCTTTCCAGACGCGGACAAATAGCATTTTCAGCCATATAGATTACAGTTATTCGTGCCTCTCTGCTTCGACCCCTTTGACGCTCCGCGTATCTCTTTCAAATGACACAAGCAGCATCATTACGATTCGCAATGATAAAAACGACCAGCCAGCGTAGCTTGCACAATGCAAACGCACACGCTAGCGGCTTTCTTATCTTTCGCTCGTTAATGCAGAAAACATCGCGGAAAATGCATATAACGCGAAAGAAAGAGTCGAGTATGTACGCTCTAAGAAAGAAGATACGATCGATTCGGAAACGCGCCAGTCCTGGGAAAAAGACAGCCATTGTGAAGAGTCGAGTCTCGACAAAGGTCGCCATGGAAACTCTCCGAGTTCTCGTCCTGCAAACGCGCAGAAAAAAAAATTTTAAGATTCGATCGATTAATTTTCGTCCCGTCCACAAATGCAGCCGTGAGAGGGAGAACAAGTCCAAATTCGATTATAGCATTCTGATAGGCCACTTTAGGCGCGTTAATTCGGTGGCGCGCCGAGTGGCTTTCTGGAAGCCCTTTTTTCGGCTTCCAATCACTCGCTGATAAATTTCTCTCTGCGCGTTGCCCGTTGCTGCTTCTTCTTTTTTGCTCCCTTTCAAATGTCATTACAAGTAGCTTGTTTCATTGTAAATCGATAGTTCGTGTAGTCCTCGGTTGGCTACGGTGATTCGAATATTCGTCGGAGCTAATTGAAAATAATTGTGTAATTTGGCCTTAATAAATCTCGCCAAATAAAAAAGTCAAATTATCATGCAACGACCCCGAAAAATCATTAGCCGGCAAGATAAAAAAAGTCATCAACCTCGCGGCAGGTATACGCAAAAAAAAGGACAAGTTAAACGAGTAGGCGTAGTGTTTTAGCGCTTAGCGTGCGCGCACAGGTACCTCTACACACTCAAGAGTCTCTCGCAGTCATCTATCAGCGATTCCATCGCGCGCTCTCGGAGGAGCAGCTCTTTCGAAAGCTATAACTCAATCTTGACGATGGGGTTACCTCCTCCGCCCACTGTTTGTTATACGCAGGCTTATCGAGTTTGTTTAGGTTGCCCTTTTATTGCGCGAAACCTGGAAAGTTGAATGTATTAAATAACCTTTTTCTGAGGGTTGCAGCTTTTTCTTGTTTTTTTTTTCTTTACGCAAGTCATTTAGTTTCAAGTGACGGGATATATTATAGATTTTTTCTTTTGATTTTAAAAGCTGCATTAAATTTGAATAACGGTCAAATGAACAAGAAGACAAGTTTACGGAGTACGACAACAGGTGCGTCTGAACATACGTGGACCTTGCCGTGTTGTATAATTATTATCCAAGTAAATAACGATCTATTATTAATTTATAATATCTTATACTTTGCTGATTAACTTTTATATATTATTTGTTTACAGTTATGATTGATATGCAGTAAAATCAATAAATTACCGAAAGTAAAGAAAAATAAAATGAATAAACGAATCGACAAAATGTAAGGCTATACAGGAATCACTGAATCCCACAGGAAAGCAAGTAAGATAAAAAAACACAAATGGCTTGGAAAAGCAACATCGGCAATAACATATTGTCAATGATCAGCAAAGCATCGTTTAAAGT